CCTCGGCCGCGACGTGCACGCCCTGCTCCACGCGACGTCGCTCAACGGCTTCCTCCTGGGCTGGTTCCTCGACGGCCTCTGCCTCCGGTGGTACGTCGCCGCGGCGAACGGCCGCGACGACCCCGCCGTCGCCGAGGCCCGGGTCCTGGCCTGGCACAGCCTCGGCGGCCTGCTCGGCCCCGCGCGGCTCGTGCTGTCCCTCGCCCTGGCGGCGGCCTGGGGCCACGTCGCCGCGGCCGCGGTCCCGCCGTTCGCGGACGGCCGCGCGCCGCCGGGCCGCGAGGCCCTCTGCCTCGCGCGCGCCGCCGCGGCGACCCTGGCCGCGGCGGCCGCGGCCGCGGCCGCCCAGGGCGAGCTCTTCCTCTGCCGGGCGCGCGCGTCCTTCCGGGCCGCGCGGGGAACGGCGGCCGCCGTCGCGCTGCTGCGCCGCCCCGCGCGCGCGTCACATCTTCGACCCGACTTCGATGTGCATCGACGGGTTCGACGCGCGCGCTTCGGCGGCGCCACTCGACGAGAGCACGCGTCCCAAACATCGGCCGACTCGACGTCGAGCGTCGTACGGCGCGGCCCCGACGTCCCGGCTCACCGGTCGATGCGCGCGCAGGCTCTGCCTGCCGGCGAAGACCCGCGCGACGATCGCCGCCGACGGCGAGTACGACGCCCTCGTCGTCTCCGTCGCCGTCGCCGCCGTCGCGGGCGCGCGCGCGTCGCGCGCGTTCGTCGACCCGCGCGCGCCGCCGGCGGCGGCGCGCGCGCGGCCGGCGCCGGCGCCGCGGCGCGCCGCCGCGCGGCTCGCCGGCCACGTCGCCGCGGCGGCGCTCTTCTACGCGGCGGCGCTCTCCGGCGGCTCTCCGGCGGCCCGGGGCGTCCGGCGGCCCCTCGTCCTCGGGGCCCGGTGCGCCCTCGCGCGCGACGCCGCCGCCTGCGCGTCGCGGCGCCGCTACCTCGGCAAGGTCGCCGCGCGGAACCGACTCCACAAGGCGCGGCGCGCGCTCGGCCTCGCCCGCGGCGCGACGCTCGACGACGCGAAGCGCGCGCGCAAGCGCGTCGCCCTCGAGTTCCACCCGGACAAGAACCCGTCCCCCGACGCGCGCGACGTCTTCGGCCGGGCCGAGGCCGCCTACGAGCTCCTCGCCGCGGAGTTCAAGCGCGAGCGCGCCGCCAAGGGGGGCGACCTCTAGGGCTGCGCGCGCGTAAATCTTATCTTGATGAGGGGCCTACTCCTACTTCTTGGCGACGCACTTTTCCTTCTTCTTCTTCCACTTGCAGCCGGCCTTTATGCACTTCTTTTCCTTCTTCTGCTTCTCGCAGGAGACTACCGAGCACTCCTCCTGGCACGTCGTCGATCCAGCCTCGTCCGCGTGTTTGCCGGCCGGGCACTTCTCGCACTTGCTCTGGCCAGGGCCGCTGATGGTGCCCGCCGGGCAAAGCTCTTGCGAGGTCGCGCCGTCCTTTGAGGTGTAGGAGCCCGCGTTCGCAATCGAGCACGTCGTCGATCCATACGTGGCCGCGTATTTGCCGGCCGGGCACTCGTCGCACGCGCTCTTGCCGAACTCCTCGGCGAACGTGCCCGCGTCGCAGAGCCAGCACGTCGTGGACCCGGCCTCGGACGCGTAGGTGCCGGGTTGACACATGTCGCACTTGCTCTGGCCGGCGCCGCTGCGTTCTCCTGGTTCGCAGCGGACTTCCGAGGTCGCGCCCGGCTTCGCGACAAAGCTGCCCGCCGACGCGACCGTGCAGGTCGCCGATCCGTGCTCGGAAGCATACGATCCTTCGGCGCACGGGGTGCACTCCGTGGCCGCGGCGCCTGAATAGCTCCCGGCTTTGCACGGCACTTGTGCAGAGCAGGGCCACACAAGGGCGAGGGGCCGACCCGAGAACCCGCGAAACCCTCGGGAGGGTAAGGGTGAGGGGCCGCCAAATTCCCAGAACCCTTGGCTCGGGTACGGGTGCGGGTACCGACGAAAAGCCACGGGTGCGAGGGACGCCCCTTACCCTCGAGGGTGTCCCGCGCCTGGCCGACCTCCTGATTTCCGTTCGAGGGCGTGTAATGCAGCTGCCAGGTTGTCGGGTCGATCCAAAAGCAGCTTAATTTGCGCGTCCGAATCCAAATTCGGCGGTTTCCATATATTTTTTTTTTAAATTAGAGGATTTTGGTAGGGTGCCACCCGCGGGTAAGGGTAAGGGTGCCCAAATTCCCAGGACCCGTGATAACGGGTGCGGGTAAGGGTTTCGGACCGGAGGGTGAGGGTAAAGGTGCGGGGCTCCGTCGGCCAAGAACCCTGACCCGCACCCGTCGGCCCCTTGTGTGGCCCTGGTGCAGAGGCGCCTTCGTCCGCGCAAAAGTTGCCGGCTTCCGCGATCATGCACCAATCCGCGCCCTTGCCGGCGTATCGACCGGCTTCACAATCCGCGCAGGACGTCGCCACCGAGAAGGAATATTTGCCAGCCTTGCACGCCTTCTCCTTCGAGGCGCCGGAGCCTTTCACGTAGGATCCAGGGCTGGAGAATCGGCACGAGGTCTTTCCTGAATCGGGCTGAAACGTGCCGGGTTCGCAGTTGTCGCACGCGGCTGCGCCGACGCCAGCCGTGAACTTGCCCGGAGCGCACGCTTCCTGCGCGGTCGCGCCGACCTCGGCCACGAAATAGCCCGCGCTGGATAACTTGCAATTGTTCTGACCTTCCGTCTCGGTGTACGAACCGGGGTCGCACGGGACGCACTCGGACGCCCCGCACAGCGAGTACGTGCCCGGAGCGCACGCTTCCTCCGCGGTCGCGCCGACCAGGAGTGCCAAGACGACGCGGAGTGCCGAGACGACGCTCACCGCCATCGCTTCGTGGTCCAACCTGCCGCGGGCGGGGAGGTCGTCCAGGCGGAGCGCGAGCAGTATGACCTCGAAATGAGCAGTGGCGCATTTCAAGCCATTTGGCGACGCTGACCGCCGACGAGGCGTCCGACGCCCTCTCTTCACCCAGGCGTTCACCCGCCTGCGGACCCCAGGCGAGCTAGGGAGAGGGGTCCTTCGCCGCTTTCGAGTTGGCCGGGGGTCCGCAGGCGGGTGACCTCTCTTAAAGGCCTTCTTTAAAACGCAGGGGTCCCGGGCGCGCGGCTCGGCGGCGGTCATCGCGGGGGCGCGTCGACGGCGAGGACGACGGTGCGGTCCGTGTTCGCGAGGGGGCGGGCCTTGGCCGTGAGCTCGTCGAGGGACAGGTGGGCGACGTC